ACAACAGTAACCCCAACTACATGGCCACTTTTTACAACAAATCACGCGCTTTATTTCATTGGACTCTATATTATGTCACGAATTTGTGAAAGAATAATAAAATATTTACAACCAAATGTCACTTTATTGCATCTAAAGAATTGCACTACGTATCTTCTCGAAATTTTTTGGACATTTATCGCTTTAGCTTTACAACTTTCATGTTATAGATTAATTATTCGTGATTTTAATTATCATGACTACGAGACAGCGCAATATATTGCTTTGATAGTGGTTGATTTGTGAGTATTTTTGACTTGGAATTTTTGCATTTTACATAAATAAATATTGACAAGTTATTATTAGGTATATATTTGAATTATTGTATCGGCCTGTGATGAGATTACCACTAGTTATGCATCATTGCATCACAATTTGTATTCCAATCTTTGTGGCCTATATTATACAAGAAGGGTAAGTTTATTAAGGCACTTCTATTCTGCTATGACTGAATTTCACTCACAGTATACGTTATTCGTACTTTATATGTCTGCATATACTTCAAATAGTGACAACCTTGATCTTCTTCCACTAGCATTGATCATCCTATTTCAAGCTACCACCGAACAAATAACTTTTGTTGGGTTGTTTCTCTATCGAATAAAACCTTCTTTGTCGTCACGAACGTTATTATTTGCCGCTGTTCAAGTTTCCATCTTGAAATTTTCTATGCTTGTTTGGAGTTACGTGTTTTGGGGTAAGTTAAATGACGATCATATTCATGATAATTTCAATACGTATTGGCGTTAGATATTAAAATTTCCGCTACGTATATTTGGTTACCGCAGGACGATACGTGTTGCCGCATCGAGGTAAATGTCATGCAAGATTTATTATGTTCACATTTTTGAAGTTTTAATAATATTTCTCTTCATTCTAATTTTATATAAAAATTAGAAGGACAATCTTTGGTGAAAGCATTCAACGTAATATTTCCAATCAGTGGAATCATTCTTTTTGGAACACAAATTTGGTCAACTTATGTCGTATATAAAATTGCAATTAAAGCTCGTCAAAATT